GCAGAAGTGGCCGTATGAAAAAAAAATTGCACCGTTATTTTTTGCTCCACATATTGCATGACGCAGCAAAGGAACGGCTCTTTTCTATCCACAGATTTTCTGTGATCACGAAGCTGCGTTTTCAGGAAGATGAAAACTCCAGTTTCACAAAGCCAGCGTCAGCAAAAGAGGAAGATGATAAGGAGGAAACCGCTAAGGAGGGCAATGAAGTTGCTGAAGGAGGAAAGGAGGGCGAAAAGAAGCGCACTTTCAATGTCTGTTGAAATGTTTTTCACCTTCCTCATACATCTCAGGTTTTTGTTTTCAGCGAAAGGTAATACGTCTGCCTAAAGAAGTGTTTGATTTCATGGCTAAAATCGAAGAGGATGGCGTTGTGAGATTCAATCTTACACAGTTCGGCGTTTTTTATCTGAATGAGCTGAAGTTTATGGGAACGAATGTGAGTTTGCCGTGATGTGATGTGCCACTTTTAGTGATAAATCACTTCGCTGTAGGTTGATGCTCTGGAATGGCTTACTGCAGATGTTCCTTTACTCAATGTAAGCGTTCCTCCCACTGCAAAGGGTGATCCCACTCTCATTGTGGAGTAAGTTCCTCAAAGTCATAACTGTCTTTTGTGCTCTTCGAATGTATTCTTGGTTTAGTCATTTTTCGAGCGATCCTGCAGTTCGCGAGGCTCAAGAAACACGTCTGAAAGGAATCTTGGAGGTTAGTATTTTGAAAATAGAGTCCTCTTAGAAAGCAACGAAGTGCAAGATATTCCAGAACCGAGAAAAGCTGAAGCAGGTTTATGCATCTGGTGGAAAGGTCTGAGTTTTTTTTCGGGTTGTGTTCTGTTTTGTGGACAAGCATATTTCTTTAGATCCTCCCTGCTGATGGGATAGATAAGAAGATCGCGAAAAGGCAGAGGAAACGGCAGAGAAGGGAAGAAAGGATTAAAATGATGGAGCAAGGAGGGGGAACTGGAACTGGAATTCCTGCAAAAGCCGATGAGAGCAAGTATGTGTTATTCAGCACGTTTTGCATCTAATCATAACCAGGTCCATTCCTTTCTTTAGGAGTACTATAATATTTGTCATTAGTAAAGCGCGCACCATCTTACCATGCATCAAAGGTGGCGTCTAGGCAAATCTGGACATATGGGGACCTTACGTGGA